TGGGCTTGGCCTCCGCCGCCGGCTCCCCCTCGGACTTGACCGACTTCGCCTCGTTCCAGTGGGGCCTCTTCCTCCGCTCCGCCTCCTCGCGCAGCTTCCTGAAGCCGGGGCACCTGAAAGAGCCGCCGGGACACACCGAGGCGTGAGGCCGTGCAGCTCTGGATACGCTGGGAACACTCCACACTGCATGATGCGTCTTCACCTCCCCCCTAACCTGGACACTTCACTCACTGCATGTGTCTGCTTTATCTACCGAGAGGCTCCAGAATTACTGCTGTAACTGCGCTGACCCTTCGATCTTTGAGAGTTCGCAGGTTCTTCTGTTCCTCAGGGATGAAGATCTGTAGCCATGTAACAACAGGGTATTAATGGGAGCAGCTTCCTCAAGGATACAAGAGCTCTGCCCCACCTTGGATTCGAACATGCAATCTTCCCATGACAAGTACATAGCCCATATCCATATAACCACGGCGAAAAGGGTTCTTTTTACACGAAGGAGATTGCTTCATTTACTGTACACTCGCTTTTCTTCTTAGCAGTACCCAGTCTTTTGTGGTTGCAGTCAAGCAAATCTGCTGAAAATAACCTTCATCTGAGATGGCACGTCAGAGACCATCACTCCATTAATCATCTTGCAGCAGAGCCTCATGTAGTAACTAGAGATCCTACTAATTCATCCGGGGGGGAGATATTGTCAACACACCTACGTGCGAGTGCATTGGGTCATCTGGAAAGGCAAACAGATGACGACTCGGCACTCCAGAGGTTGTTGACCACCAGGAGTAATGAGAAATCAGGGAACCAACTAAGGTACAGCCTGCAATGTGCTGGGCTACAGGACATGAGGAGGAAAAGAGCTTTCTTATAGGAGGCGATGCCAGTATGAAACAGCACACGTTCAGGCTACATATTAAGGAAATATAACCGGATGCCAATCTTTTCTAAGGTCTGGGATCCATTTGTATTCATTACCTGCAAAAACTCACACAGCATCAGACTTCCATTTTAGCTCAGAGAGGCTTACGCACGACACTTCCAAACTCTGTAGAAATCCAGCTTTCAGTTTATGTCAGAACAATTGAGTTACACGAAAGGAAGACGGCGTTCTAAAAGCGACTAACACACTCTTTACCAGGAGCAGGGGCCAGCAGCAAAAAACCACTATGGCACCTTTATTTACATGTTGCACGAGTCACAGAAAAAGGTTTGCCATGACATTAACAAAGCCATTTAAACTTCTAGAGCAGTTAAGGGGGGTGGGGGTACATAACTCAGCTCTCTACCCTAAAATCAAATGTTCTGCTTAAATGTTTCCACCAGTCAACCCCTCTTGAAAACAGCCCAATCCACATGCAATATCAAGTACTCAGAAAACTGTCTGATGTTAAAATTCAACCAGGGGAGTGAGATAGCCAAGGCTTAAATGAACAGAGAGCCATTACATAGTTGAGAAATGTTTAACCGCATTGCAAAACACCCGTGACCCTGTGGAGAGCACATGATTAGGTCACCCATGCCTCTAAGTGACCCGTAGCTCCGTTTGCACTTCTACAGTGCTGAAAACGCCTTATTAGAGCAACCTCTCCCCCTTCATTTACTGCAGGTGATATCTGCCCAGAGACAGGAGAGAAGAGGGTGAGACAGTGACGCTCCTCACCTGTTGTGGAGGTGTGGCTGCAGCTCACACCTCTGCATGCTCTGCTGGCAGGAGCTGTGGTAGGGGCAGAGCACGGTCAGTTTGTCCAGCAGGTTCCTGACCAGCAGGCTGGACTGGCGGCACTGCGGGAGCTGCAGCCGCTGCCTGTCCACGGGACAGAAGTCCTGCTCCTGCAAGAAGCTGCTGAGGCACTGGAAGCAGTAGGTGTGTCCGCAGGGGGTGTCCATGGGGCGCAGAAGCGGCTGCAGACAGATGTGGCAGACCAGCTCGTCGTCCACCTCATCCTGGTAGTCGTACAGGTGGCTCTCCTGGCTACCGTGGGCCTGGCCGCACTCCTTACACACCTGGCCCCAGGTAAGAGGAGCTGGGGGCTTGGGCTCCGTCATGTTGGCCAACACAGACGAGAAGTGCAATCCTCCCGCTTTCAGAATGGCAACCAGATATTCCTTTATCCTTCGCAGGGGGG